CATTCAACATCTTCCTCCACAACTTTTTTGTATCTCTTACTACTCTTGGAGTATTTGATATTATTATTAAGTATTAGATATAACATATTGCATATTGCACATTACATATTGCACATCAGATATTAGATATAACTCGTTCCAGTCGTGACGATCACCCTGCATAATTACCTTTCAAATATATCTTAATACAACAATGATAAACCAATTAAATAAACCGTCTTATAAGAAATCGTATGAAAATATAAAAAATATAATTGCGTTTGCACAGTGAGTTCTGTTCACTTACCTAAATCCTGTTGCTTAATTGATTAATTAACAAATAATACTGACAAGTTTGATGGAATTATGTTTGTTCAATTAGCTGCCATTATATGAGGCTCATTCATAGTTGAAAAACGACACGCCAAGAAGCTGCCCACGAACGGGATGAATGTAAAACCCAGGAAAGCGAATAGTGTGCCATTTATGAGATACACGATTCCTGTGAAGCATCCCTGTGAATGTAAATGATCGATATTAGATCGATGATTGATTAATTTATAGAAATTTTTCATTTCTATCAAACATGTTAATAAACGGAGTTAAACATTTTTTATTTGTAATGGAAATAACAAATAAAACTGGCAAATAATTATTCTAACGAAAGTAGCAAAGCAATTTATTGGAAAATAATGATTATGCGAATAAATATAGAAATCTTATTTTGAGAAACACATTGAATCTGAGTGATTTATTTTCCAAGAATTATTTAAAATACTCTAATACTTGGAAAATAAATTACTTAGATTTAATGTGTTTCTCAAAATAAGATTTCTATATTAATAACCATTAACAGTGCTTACTTCACTCGTATGCATCTTATTTTGATATTCCGATTTAGGCATATGCATTTATTATGTATAAAATACTATTTTTTGCGGTTTTGAATAATTATTTAAAATACTCTAATAATTCAAAACGGCAAATAATAATATTTTATACATAATAAATGCATATACCTAAATCGGAACATCAAAATAAGATGCATACGAGTGAAATAAGCACTATTAATGGTTAAGTATCGTCGGAAGTCTGCGGCTTTGGAATAACAGTTCTATACACCGCAGACAAATTTATTTCCTTAGATAAATCAAATAATAAATGCCTAAATATCAAATAAAAGAGCAAACGTTTAAAAATATATTTTAAATTCATTATTATTTAAAGAACGTTAACTGACTGTTAATTCCTTCGACAAAGATTCTATCAAACTCAAAAGTTGAACAAATTTAATTGAATTCTAGCAAAATTTCTATTACATCGTCTGTTGAACATCGATTGTCATAAATGCGTAACATCCGTAGTGTACTTATAATTTTCGAAATACCTGAGTATTAATTTCATTCATGTCTTTAGTGTCACAGGTTTTGTTCACATCTTTGCAACAAGATAATGGGATATCCTTAGGAATGCTCAACCAGTCGGTATAACCCGTGTTACCACAGCATCCCAACTATTCAGAATGTAATATAAAGGAGAGGGTAAAAATATGAAAAACAGTAGAAATACGAAACATTCAAGTTTTATTAAAATAATATAAATAATATAGATAATATAGATATAATATTAATAAAAATTTTATAACACTATTCGATCACTTACATATGATTGCGCCTTATCTATGTAATAGCTGCTTTTTGGTCGTACGGGGTGGTGGGCAGGGCTAACGTAAGCAACCATACTCTTATTCAGGGCTTGATCGAATTTTTCAACCAAGCTTGTACGATATGCGAAGGCCGACACAGCGAATCCAATCAGAAGTACTGCAAGGAGAGCTAAGAAGGCACCATACTAAAAGTACAATTATTTTTCATTCTTACTGAACAACAATGATTAAACCAATGGACGTTCACATTTTCACAAATTCAATTTTATTTCTTCGAGTGAGAATTTCATTATCTGATTACACATATAGAGGGTGAGATATTTGAATGGAAAAACTTCGTTATCTCTGGCCTTCTGAACAAATTTCTTAGGACAAAGAAAACAGATTTCTTATATATGTTTATATATAGTCGAACTTACCAGACGTAAACAGAACCAATCGGACCTCACAGTGCATTGGAATGCCAATAGTATCACCAGTACAGCAATTATCACGCCCAAACCGCTTAGGCCATTCAAAATAGATGCAATGCCTCCGTCTATCGTGTTATCGTATACGACTGTGTCAAGTTCATCTCGATAGAGAATGCTGCCTACCGCCAATAGTAAACCGTATATCTAAACATATTATTTACGTGAATTATATCCATACATTACGATACAAAAGATGCTATAATATTCATTATGATATGTTTATTATAGGCTCATGTGGCATGTGTAATTCATAATAATTAATGTATCGAAAACGGGAAATATAATTATTAATGAAACCTTCTTTTTCATCATTTAGGAAGAATACGCGTTTGCAATTTGAGGTGTCGAATTGGGAATTCGCAGGTGCTTTAGGTCAGTCGCCCCACAGGGGAGCAATTTGATTTTTAACCGTTTGTGTCCCACGCGCCTCTTTCGTGCTCTTCAGATTTCATGTCGAAAAAACACAGCGCATTTGAACGATACGAACAACTGATGGCGCATTCACAATCTGGCGAAACGCGCACAACTTTTCAGACGCGTGTACGTCGCATCGGTACTTTTTTTGTATAGGAGTAATCTAATACATTTTGTATTTCGTTGTTACCTATTATATATTAATACATATTTATGATAGTATCAACATAGATTAAGACAAGCGCTGCCGCGCTGCTTGGCTTTTCACGACATGAAATAAAAGGAGCGCTGTCGCGCCGCTTGACTTTTTTCGACTGTTTTCTTAAAAACCTCTGGTACTCAAACCGTTAAGGGGGGCAATTTGAAATTTTAAATATCACTTCATATATTTCGCAGTATTTACGCACGTAAGCAAAATAGTAAAGATTTCACAATAAATATTATAAAAATATTATAATATAATATCAAAAATTATGTGTATGTTACATAGGGTGATATAAGAATTTTAAAAAGGCTTAGGTGGCGCATGGCACCAAAAAGGTTGAGAAACACTGCTTTAGGTTCTTTCCCCTCACGGCCTAACCAGCAAGACTTACCCCCTCCATATATTTTCACCTGTTAGTATCGAACACTACATAGAACTGCCCATACACATGCGTGGGCAGCTTTCAAAGCAGAGGTAGTAGGGGAACGCTGATCGAGAGTCACTAGCTTGAGGGGAGGCAGTTCAACACCCCCGTTTAATTGCAAGTGTCAACAATGGTTCGCATTATAGAAAGCAACTCACAATAATAAAACAATTGAAGGCCAGTAGCAGGATATACGTGCACCACCATTCAGCCGCCTTCTGACACAATCGTACTCTTGGCGTAAACATTTCGTTTTCCTCTGCAACTGATCCCAATTACGAATCTCTCACTCGCAAACAACTATTCGAGGCAATTTTTTAACATCGCTACGTACCACTTTCCTGTAACAAGAGAAAGATGTTGCAGCGAGATTATTGAGACTTACAATACTTATGTATGTATTGCTCCTTCACGACTTGATGGCTACCGGAACTGTCCATCCTCATTTCTGACGTTCCGAGAGGTTTCCCATTTAAGCCAGATGTACACTGTCAGTTCAATATTTCTTCAGTGTTTATAATTTTCGATGAACGAAGATACAGCGAGATCAAATCACGGAAAGATTCGTTATATTATGACTGGGGTGTTGAACTGCCTCCCCTCAAGCTAGTAACTCCGATCCACTGTTCGGAGTGGATCTCTTCCCGAGAACATCTCTTCCCCGAACGGGGGAATTGAGGGGAACACGGTGTACCCTCTCCTTGGCGTTGCATGCGGTTCTTGCGGAGGTTGATGGAAAATGCCCTGATGAATGGGGTAGTGGCAGGAGTAAGGCGAAGTGGGGAAAACGCAACCCATTTCATTGCTTTCTGGCTTCACTGCTCTGATCAGTGATTCTTCTACTGCCTCTACTCTGTGCAATGCTCGAAATTGTGTACGTGAGCAGCTGTATGTATTGTTCAATACAGACAGGTGAGGGTAGGTATGGAGAGGGTAACTCTCGCCTACTAGACCGTGAGGGGAAAAACCCTAGAGAGCTTACTTACAATTAGGGGATGACTTGATAGCAAAACGATACAGTAGCAAGAGGTATTTTTCTAGTTTACAGTTTTATAGGTTTGATTGGTTACGTGTAACCGTATTGACGAATAGTAAATTAGTGATAAAAAATATCATTAGGAAATAAAATCAACAGGACATTAGGCGAGAAGAATGAACTCGGATTAGTCAGTTGAATTCCTTAGCCTAGCTATCAACTGATCTAGCAGCATATATTATGGGGATGTTTGTAAATCAGGAATGTTGAACTGGTGGCTCTCAAATCACCTAGGGTCAAATCACAGCCTAGAAGACGAGAATTACCATGCCCATTTCACTACTTTCAATATTTTCACTTGTGCATTGAAAACTATGTTGAGCTGTTCACGTATACAGTTTCAAACAACTCGTGAAGTAAAGCTACTAGTGGGACCATCGATCGAGAGTCACTAGTTTGAGGGGAGGAAATTCGACACTCCTAGTCTAGTCCTCTAAGGATAATCTAGACTGCGGATATTCATGCAAATTTAAGTATTTAAGAATCTAATTAAGAAAATGGAACTACTGTGGAATGTAGTTTTTCCTATAAAATACTGTAAAAAACACTATACTTTGGATGTTGTATATATTCTTTTGTATCACGTGCGTTCTGTGCAAATTTGCAATTTCACATTTCTCATTTCGGTGTCGAGCCCGATATTACCGATAATTCGAGATTTCAGGTTTGTTAGTAGGAATCGAATTAATTATATACTTCGTTTCAGCTAGGAGTGTTTAAGATAAGTTGGCAACGACGAGTACTCGCAGCGGGTATATTTGAAATTTGAATGATGGAAATAGTAATTATCGAATGTAGTATTATAAAAATATAATTTCCATTGGTTTGGGAAGATAAGGACTATAAGGATGCATAGGGGAATAAAGGAAGTACGAATATCGATTAGTCGATGTAGCGGATGTTGAATATGTTTGTCGCTTGTAACATCGCATTCTTAAAATTAGTAGCAATTAGTAGCAAATTAGTAGTACTTTGTAATGACGTGAATGAGACCTATAGCTGGAGGAGATTTAATAAATGAAAATTAAGAGATAAAAATTTCTTTTCTTTTATATTATAACCGAATACTCTAGTTGCGTACAATAACAAATTCAATAATATACGAATGTTTAATCTGCGACATTATTTTCTACGATGCAAAATCTTTTACATCGCGAAATTGGAAAGTGACGATAAAGCATAATGTTAAAATAAAACACAAAGAAGATAAAAAGTTCAATGTCAAATTTATTGAGGTAACGTTGAATCAATCGATGTAATTTCAAATTATTCCCTTATAAAATTATGTCTCATAAGTGAGGAGTAACATCGAACAATAAAATATAAAAGAATAATTAAACGTATGTATGCGTGTGCAAAGTATTCCGTGATATCAGTGTTGACAAGTAAATCTATGTATCGTTTTCCTTCGACGAATTTCTATCTGTAAACAACTTAGTCCTGCGAATATTGACAAGTACACGACAAACAAATTGTAGCAAGTACGCTCGGCAAAGGAACGAGTAACGTGTGTCGAAGATGAAAGGCATTTAATTACAGTACGTTACTGTTCAATGAGGACAATTTACATCTGTTTAAAAGTCACACATAGAACAGCGAATACATAAGTATACTTCCGTTCAAATTGCAAACTTTCCCACTATCGAATATTCCCGCAAAATGAAATCGACGTTAAGATCTAGTCAAGCTCAGCAATCTCAAATACTCTCGGCAATCATGCAAAGATCTCTAGAATTTCGAAGACCCCGATTCCTTTCAACACTTTTGCCGGTAATGATGCGGGGAACTGATGCGATCCACATTCGTCGTGTAATTCAACAAAACACTCGGCCAAATTACATCATTATCGCCCACAATTGGTGAATGCTTAGCCTTCCTCGACGCTTTCCGGTTTCTTCGAATATCGAGACAACTCTTGGTAGCTTCATGATCGACATCGTCCACGCCCTCGGCGACCCAATCCAAATACCCCTGTTGATTCTTCAAATTCACGTCCTCCACGAACGTCCCATCCCTTGTGCAATTATTGTTGCTCTCCTCTTCGATCTGCAACACTGTCGAATTATTTTCCTCGTCGATCACCGCGACGTCCTCTTCGTTCAAATCGAGCTTCGTCAGATCGACGTTCGACCAGCTGACCGAGTCGATCGGATTGCAATCCCCAACCGCCGTGCCGGCGAAGATGGTTTTAATATTTTCGCCGGCGAGCCCGTCCTCTAAAAGCTGATTAGCGATGAAGTCTGACACCGACTTCGCGTCCCACTCGACCAGCTCCTCGCTGCTCACAGAGATCCTATCCTCCTTATCGTCCTTCGCTTCCTCGACAAGGTCCTTCTTGCTGTTCTTGATGTCCCCGATCGTCTTGAAGTAGATGCTGTGGTCGTACCTGTACGTCTCCAGGCAGTTGCTGTCCAGATTGCTGTTCGACTGGTAATTGAACGTGCCGCAGCAGTTGATCTTCGTCTCTTCTGGCCGGGACTTTCGGCGCGACTTCTTCAGCGCGTGGAACCGTGGACTCCAGGATGGATCCTCTATGATCAGCTTGTTGGAGGAGACGCTCCAGCGCGGTTCCTGGCCGCTCTGCATCGTCATTCGTCCCCTGGACAGTCTCTGGGACCTCAGACGATTGTAGCCCCTAGCGTATGCGGCCCACCTCTCGATCCTCTGCAACATGTACTCGGTCTCCTCGTTCCACCATTCGGTCAGGCCTTTCTGCAGCATCGCGCCGACGTCCTCCGTCATTACTGATAATGAGGACGGATAACCGTGCACGGAAATCATACGAACCGCAGTGCCAGGACGCCGCACCGCGAGGACGGGCTCCGGAATCGCGATAAGTATCGACCGAGCCCCGGTCTAGGGCGATTGAATTTCCCAAGGAGACCTCGCTGGGATTTATAGGGTTCGCCCGAAGCACCGCAAACACCGAAGCCATCGCGGAACCGTCGTAATCCCTGACCGTGACCTCGTCCGAGCGCACGAGTTAAATTCGGTTTGCCGCGTAACCTATTGCCGCGTTCTGTCAGCATCGATTACGAGGACCGGATTAGGGGAGGTGTGCTCCGGCGGAATCCGTTCCGCGAATGAATGGCGTTCGCAAGCGGATTTCTGGCAGTTAAAAGCGATTATCCTTAATTAACACCTCCGATCCTGCAGGGACATATAGTTCGGACGTATCTCGATTACTCGAGCCTGTCACTAGAAATCGAGTAACAACTTTCAGGCAGGAAATGCAATCCTGCTCGACGACAGTTCATGTAAATTGGTCGAATACGGAACAACCGAGCTTTTAACGCGATTAACACTAAAACTGCGGAGCAGTTAGAGTGATTGATTTTCAATTTTGTGTAAAAGTCAGAACAATATGTTTCTTGAGATTCGAAGCCTCTCTTAGGTTTGTATCTTGCAAGTACGCAAAAATTGAAAATTACACAGAAGAATTCATCATTTAAATGCATGGAAAATAAACATTTTGAAGTGTTCATTTGTAACCGGTAGTTTTAGTGTTAATATGTAATCCTTATGAAAATTGTAAGAATAGATTTTTCTTCGGTTTCTTTGTATACTTTTCAAGAAATTTCGGATATTTAACGCTTGGTTGTTCCAGTGTTGAGTGAACTGAATTGAAAAAATTTGTGATGAAAATACAACAAACACGTGCAACGTTTCAAATTAATTAATGTTGCATTTTTGTTTATAAAAAATCCTGAAACATCGATATTTTTGACCAAAAAAAAGAAATTCCCCCCTTAAGATAAACAGTGGCAACGTAAAGGAAAATACTAACACGTTCAGTGTAAATTTACCATCCATGGTACACGCCAATTTTTCTATAACAGTACTTTTGAAAGACACATGTACATGGACAACGGTGCATGTTACAAAGCAACGGGAACGTAAAGAAATGATATTAACCTACATAAATAGCTATAAAGTTATGGCGAGATTAGCCCCTATATCTTTATACGGCAAGGTTTGACGCGGTCTGCATATCATAAATGTAATATCACTACAATTTGAGACTGATAGAATTTTTCACTGTGCAAATACATTAGATTGTACTGTAATGTGCATAACTATCGACGTCAAAGAAAGAATTGTGCCGCTATAATGGCGTACCGTTCAAAAAGATGGTATACAAGAAAGCCACTATAGTGGCGTATAATAGCTAAAAGGTTAAAACATCCAAGAGTCACCAAAAACTTCAGTATAATTTAATATTTTATTTCAAGAATCAATACGCTTTAAATGCGAAACAATCGAAATTTCCGGTAACACAGTATGTGTTAAGAAAATACCAAATCTAGGTCAAAGAAAAAGTATGGTGTAATACCATGTCACCGGTTATTAGTCTGTAATCAAGTATGAAAATGAAACAATCTAAATAAACTTCAACATACTTTATTTATAACTAATGAATTTAAATGAAACTTTCGGCATATCTTGTATATAACTTTGTATATTTTGCTTTTGCAATATTCTATATTGTCCTGCGTTTCAAAAATTGAAATAGCTTATGCAAGCGCAAACACGAGTTAACTTGTGACCGGTCAACAACGTGTTAACGATTACGTTTATAGAAACGTTTTCAGTGGACACCTAACCAACAGAATCATCCGAACCATAAACACTTCATATCGCACACTGGCGATTATACCGTGTAAACCGCATACCTAAGTACATATTTTGTGGTTAATGTTGATGGCATTAGAACACTGTCATTTGAGAAAGAGACAGATGAAATATAATAACAGTTCTCCAAATTCAGTAGATTTCGTCCAGATTCAAAAATGGACTGTCGTATATTATAGTACCTACATACATTTTTCCTTAAATATGCATTTACACCGTAATACTTTCTTGCCATTTTTCGCTTTTTATTATTATTCATGAACAATTTATGAAATACACCTTACATACTTTTATATATTACACAAGTACCGACGTTCCTTTATAAAATATTTAAATTTCCGCATTCGACGCATTCATTTCGAATTACGATCATTCGGCGTAAGAAAGTTTCAATTTGCCTTTTGGACTATCAACTTAGTTTAGATATTCTATAACTTTTCACGTTTACTATAGATAATCGTTCATTTACAATTCCTTAGAACCTATAGACAGATGACTTGTAAGAATTCTAAGTGGCTGAGGTGGCATCAATTTTTAACGTCTTCTCAAAGAGTAATCGTACAATCATGTTTTTCTTTTTTTAGCGTTTCTTAATTCAAGCCACGGTAAACTCATTCGAGCTTGGACGAGCAATCTACATACAAACACCAGTAGGATATCCACGGTCTGTCCGTCTATGAAGTGGCCACGAAAGAGAAAAGCGTAGTTAAGGTGGTAATGCGGTTACTGGAGCTGCCAATCATCAAATACCACCGTGGAATATTGAATGTTCATCAGCGGAGGCGTCTACGACAAAGCAAATTGTTTATCAGCCCGGAGCTACGTGAATTACAATCCAAGGAGCTCAGCGTTCCCTCGGTGCTCCGGGGATGCCGGTGTTCACGTATAAAAAGCCATGTCGAAACGATAGACCGTGCATTCTTCCGCCAATTTCAGGTCCATCACCATACAGGTGAACAACGTTTCCTCTTGGCCGTTTGTATATATTCGTTGGTAAAACGTTATAAATATAAGTACGGTTGCATTTGAGATTTCTTTTCGTGTGTAGCTTCTATTTTATTCGGTAATACTTAGAATGTATAATTTGATTTGCAAGCCCATATTTTAAATAATTTTCAGCATGTGTAATTTTATTTATAAATTTATGTTTCGCTAAGTACCTAATTGTCGTTACCGGTTGAAATTATACAGTTCGAATAATAGTTCTCCAAAGTTTCATTGAAATATTTTTTTGAAATGATGTCTTACATAAGCATCTTTGATAACTTTTATTTGAACCGGAAAGAGAAAATGTTTCTTTAAAGTAGATTAATGAGATTAATATCTTCCTTGACTGGTTCTGAAAGCATTTTTTTAAATTGCAATTGTTTGAATTGGAGAATGCACTATTCTCTTTTGCAGTCGCAGGCTTTTTAATAAATATAATTTTTATATCAATTTTAAACATATTGTTTCGAGAAAAGTACATTTCTAACTATTGAGTATAAATTATATTTAAAAATAATGCTTTTCTCTATTATTAATATATAATTGTCATTTTTACAAATTTTTCATTAATGATTTTAGAGATCTAGCTTTACAGTTAATGTATTAATCCAAATATATTTTTAACAAATTGATTTTTTTAAGTAATCAACATTTATATAATCCTCTAAGCTATGAAACTATATTCTAATACTTGATTTCTGCTATTAGGCAATGATCATTAGATAGCAGGTTAATAACATTATATTAAGATTTAATAGGATGTACAAATTTGACTGAAAGGATTCTATACTTCGCATGTATCGATCGTATAAGTTGTTACATTCATAATTCTTATTTAAACTTTTAATCAATCGATTCCGTCGTTAATACAACATTCTTATTTTTCAGATATGAACTTAACGTTCACCCTCCTCTGTCTAATGGCAGTCATCTGGTCTTATAAAAAATGCGAAGCAGCTCCTGAACCCTCTAATATTCATCACAAATTTCGAAGCCGCCCTATAGCGCGAGGGTAATTATACGAAGTATTCAATTAAATATAAATTAAATTCTTCACTGTGTTCCATTGTAATGTTTTCTTTGTGCGATTTGATGTCTGTAAATTAATTAACAACATAAATTATTGTTATTTACTAAAAATAATTTACGTGACATCGACAGTTTAACAAATTCATACCTTCCTTGATTATTTTATCATCATCACCACCGGGCAGATATTTATTTTAACGACAAATTTCTTTTTTAAACGTAATACTAATTGATAGTAAAATATGTAATCCATATAAATATCTTCAGTAAATTTTATCACGAATTAAAATTAGTAATTTGAAATTGGACATTTTATCTTGTAGATACTAAACTGTTTTCACGTTTGCTATACTATTCATTTGAATATATTGTATTCAAATAAGTTATATTATATTATATATAATATTATATTATATGATATATTATATGATATACTATATATTATGATATAATATTATATTATATGATATATTATATAATATACTATATATTATGATATAAATTATAATACATTATATTACATATTATGTTATATACTATATTATATATTATATTCTCTTTTTACAGGTACACCGTGGAAAATTCATTTGGCGAATCCGATGATTATGGGCATATGAGATTCGGAAAACGGGAAGAATACGACGATTACGGTCATTTGCGATTCGGAAGGCGTCTCGAATGAATAGTAATAGTACTGATCGATTATAGACACGATTGTGTAGTGATGTTTCACCGTGGTTGCTACAAGAGTCATTGTATTTAGACTCTAGACAAAATATATTTTACATTCCAAATATAGCACTTGGTTCATTTGCTCCCTGTACCTTTCATATTTTATTTAAGCATGCTTATCGAAGAATGTGATACAACTGTCCAATTAGTTCTGTATTAATTGTCAGGTTCAATTTTAAATAACTGCTTTTTTAATAGACCTATATTGATTTCTTCGAATTATTTCGCAAGATTACCTGGAACTATTACTTTACTAATATACATTCAACTTTCTAATACGAATAGCTTTCATTCTGAATTTTTTGTTTTGTAACATTGTTTGACATAATAATATATCATGACATATAATTCACACTGTACTGTAGTTTTCACACATTCAAGCTAGACGAAATTAAACTACAATTAATATGTATCAATAATTATTATTAAAGGTACATTTTAAATTTCTTCGCGACCCTGTGCTTACAAATTGATCAATAACAGTATAAACGCGCATAAACAATCATAGAAATGGATTAATTATTTATCTCAATGACTAAAGTGCAAACATTAAAGATATGACAAAGATGATTAATTTTAATAATATTGATTAAAAAATGAATAAATAAAATGTTTTTTAAAGTAGAATAGCTCGTAATATTATTCTTGCTTTGAAACAGCAACACCAGCAAGATTTCACGGAGACCTTTTCGCAGTCGTTAAATCGTAAAGTGTATCCCTTCTCGATTTTAAGTCCGCTATCCTTCGGTGGACTTCCATATTGTCGTCCAAGAAAGTATAAAAACCATCCCGCTTTTCTAACTCGTCAAGACTATAACCGATCATTCGCCGATTCAAAAGCCATGGCACTGGCGGCGGCGGAGGTGGCGGAGGTTTTCGCTTTATGGGATAGGGTAACCGGTAATCAATTTCCTTCGTTGTCCTGTAATCCATAGAATCCGCCATTTCAGGATCATAAAGTGCTTCTGTAACGGTTGAAGGTTTTTTCTCTTCAGTCCTGTCGATACACGTTTTTCCATTATTTGAGATTAAATAAACCCGGAATTATCGAACAAAATCTGTTGTTATCATTTGTATCAAAGAATAATTATTAAATATTAGTGTATAGAGTGTTTCAAAAATGTATATTATGACCATAGCGTGATTCTACATCTTTTTAGTTTGAAAAACTGAATAATTCGCTTGCAAATTACTGTTGAAGTTCCCGTAAGAGAATAAAGAATCGATATTCGGTGTCTTCTGTTATACGATGGGTTACATGGCTCCTATAGGAACTTCAACAGGAATTTTCAAGCAACCTGTTCATTGCCTTCAACACGAATCAATGATAAAAACTTTTAACCCTTTTCTCAAGGTCAGAATAAATTCTGCGATCACTTGTTTGTCTTTTTCTATCAAATCAAAGATGCAGAATTATGTGTAGTAGTTATGACATCTTATTTCGAAACACTCTGTACAAAAGACTAAAATTTCTCGTGTCAGATAACGTGTTAAATAAAATGTTCGTACGTACACCTCTGATGCAAGCGCCTTCATATTGAGAAACGTTCGTTGCGGATAAATCGGATTGTATAAATGCTTCAGTTCTATTTGCGACAGCATAGCTCGGGTTTCCGATATTCCGGTAGCACCAGCTTCCGGACCGAGTCTCTGGTACGATGACTTGTGAAGATTTCCGTGGGGTGGAAAAATATCTTTGTTGTCTCTGGGCTCTGCCAACGTGTGCATTTGCCTGGAAAAATACAGTTTCTAAGTTCCTTTAATTCTTTAATATATTCTTTAAAAAAGTAATATATAAATGTATAAATATATAAATGTATAAATATATTATTTTTTTAATATATATACTAAACGTGTTTCGTATAGATCATCGTCATTCGTCGTATTTCTAGTTTGCCTGATGTTTACATTAATTATGTTTGTGTACGCATAAAAACCAAATCTAAAAAGCAATGAAAAAGATTGAATTATAGAATGTTTCGATGTTTTAAAGTTTACTTTTTAATAATTCATACATTTCACTTATGTAATTTACGAGTCAGAATTGATAACGATACAAAATTAAGAAGATAAACTTATTATCTGTTCGAATATTTTTAGACCATTACACAAATATACATTTCACTTAAAGCGAATCGCAATATATCATCTGTAATTAATAAGAAAAAACTCCATATACTTCATAATTATTATAAATAATTTATGAGAGAAAAGGACTTAATTATTTTATATATATAAGTAATTTAGATATAAGAAGATAAATGCGAATATTCGCTAGTATCCGAGTATTTCTATTATTCGGTGTGGCGAATGTTTTATTTCTTCTATAGAAAAGCAGAAAAACAGCACAAGCAACAATTTCTGTTAGATTGTATACTATATAAAAGTTTTAATATTATTAAATATTATTCAAAATTGCAATTTGTATAAGTAATGCGATTATTATTTTAAAATTCTTTTATAATCTTTACGACCATTACGTGTTATATATAATGTTTTACTTTATTACACATTTAATATACATATATAATGAAGTTACTTACGGAAGCATGGACAAACTCTATTACTACATAAAAATTCAAAACGTTCATATAACTTTTAGATATTCTCCGTAATGTTTAAATATTTATCAATCACTGTGTATGAGAAAAAATATCTTATGCTTAATTAATAAACAACTGTCCTTTTTAATCTTAAAAAAGACGTGTGTACGCATACAGTGGTTACGACGTAAACATTTTTCGGAGTGTTGTCGTCAGAAAGGGTTGCTACGCAAAACAGGGAAAATTCCACTCTTCTTCAAGCTTAATATCGATCGAACAATATTCTTTAGATTGAAATACTTAACCTCCCGGCTTGCAATAACGTGTCAGTCTCGTGGTCAAGATGTTACAAGCAATTAATAGACCATGAAATTTCCTGAATAGTTAGAATGACACGATGTTACATAGTAATTGATTAAAGAGAATACTGACCATCAAAGTTTATAACAATTATTTTTATACGAGTTACTTATTTATTAATAAACATATATTTACCAGTCATGAATTTTCACTTTGTTGTTATACGTAGCAGGCACATGGAAAACTATTGGCTCCAGTTCTTTGTCCACGTCCGGACAAGATGGAAAGATAGTCTGCAACGTAAGTTCTCATGTGTAACATCATTGAAAGATATATATTTTCGGAAGATGATTTGTTCGTCGTAATTTTATTATACATCTAACTGTTTTCATTTCCATTGTGCACAAATATTATGTAGAACAAGAATACCGTATCATTGGTAATATTTGTTTAAATTTTATATTCATATTCTTTTCAATTATTTTTGTAACGTTTCACAAAATAAAAATAACTATACTCACGCTGGTCATTGGTCTTCCGTTTACTGTCATGTTAACTTTTTCAGTTTCAGTTCAAAATTATTCAGTAACAATTTATACCGTTAAAAAGTATCAACGTGGCGTGTTATCGCGCGCAGTAGACAATTAAAAATTGAAAAGCTATTGAACATAGCGCTAAACATTATCGATAATATGTTGGAAAACATTCATTTTCATTACTTCAGATTTTGTTACGACTGATTAACGTTAATTGATGTTTGATTATTGTATATCGTTGACGAATTATATTTTTAAGATTAATGCAAATATTTGAAATAATTCTCTGTAGCATTTAAATTTATTAAATTGAAAGAAAGCAATCAAAATGGTGAATACATCGTTAAAAGAAGCTATATTGCGAAAGTGTAGGAAAATGATTCCACCTATGGTATCGTATGACGAAGAAGAAGGAGAAACGGAAGATGTTGAAGTGGATGAATTTGAAGGAACAGAGGAAGATTTACCCTTTGAAGAAATTCTCGCAGATAAACGTCACAAATACAGTGCTAAGGAGGAATTTATTTATTTACTTCATAATGACGTGTTGAAATATTTCGTAAAAAGGTAATTCTTTCTTCAATTCTCTTTTTAAGACTGTATTAGGTTTATTATAAATTAAAAAGATGAAGATATGATCGAACAATCTGAGCTCTTAAATCCACAAACTTAAATTAAGACTGATTGATTCATGACAATGTGAAGATGGTTAAGAATTAATTTATTATGTTATAAGTAAAGAATTAGTAGACAGATTTTTATTTCACTAACAGGGGAGATTTTTAAAGCATATTAACCAATTAATTAATCAAGTTAAACTAAACTACTAAAACGTATCACGAGTAATTTTATGGTGTTCATTACAGTTGGGAAGGAACAGTCTTAAGAAAAAAGTATGAAAGAGAATCCGACGATGATTTTCATACAGAGTTCGATGAGGATGAAAATACTGAAAATATAAGAAGCAATGAAAGTTATTCCAACAATGATTCAAACATAACTCCTAAACTACCTTGGAAGATAATTTTACCAGATGAGTTCGCGAATATAACGTTTATTAATGACAATACATATAGCGGTCGTATCAGTAGGAAAATGATGGAGGGCAAAGGGGTGTACAAATGGTCTAATGGCGCCCAATATAAAGTAATTACTTTTTGCTTTTTATTACATACACAAATAAGTTAACTACCCTTTTCTTACAAGCTAATACATATAACCGAAAACCAGAATATTTATCATGTTTCTTTCATAAAAATTCAATAGTCAATTATTACAAAATTTCGTTTGCTATATATAAATTTGAAAACCGTTTTTTCTCATCACCCATAATTCTTGAGACATTTCATTTCAAAAGAATAACCAAATTTTAAAATTTCAAAAATCATTTGTACGCTAAAGATAAAATAAGTGAATATTACGGTCAACAAGTTTGTTTGCAAATAATAACAAGCATTATTTATTAAATCTTGGAAACAAAGAAATAACAATTAAGCAGTTTTTATAGGGAGAATTCGAACGAAACCGTATGCACGGTTGGGGCTTGCTGGAATGGAACAGTAACCGTTGGTACGAGGGCGATTTCGCGAATGGTTATCAACATGGCAAAGGATTGCTAGTAGATAGCGACAAACACTTTATGTACACTGGCCAATGGTTCGAGGGTCACAAACACGGGAGTGGGTAAGTGTTGATGTTAAGTCACTTACGAATGTAGGATACAATAATGTTCGATCATAATTAACTCGATACTTTCAAATAGTTCAGCTTTAACAGCAATGAATATTATTTGCATCTTAAATTCATAGACTATTATCTTTGAAAATTAATCTTTCACACCTATCGTTATGTATGTTTATGCGTGGAAGTATTTTATTTACTTGCCGTAACATATTCGTATCATTTTTGTAATTGATAAATGTATGCACACGACGAACGGAAAACTAAATACAAGTATAGTGAGTACAGTATTATACAGTATAGTACAGTATTACAATATAGCAATAATCACCTACACTTTTGACAGTTAGAATAGCATTTTCTTAAAAATATTTATTTTAAAAATGAAAATTTGTTTTAAAACATGATAAGTTAGCTAACGTATATTGTGAAAATAAATGTACTTTTTCAAAAACCTTTTGTTTGGCCCCTAAAGGGTTAACGCGATTTTTTAAATCGTTACATTCACATAACAGACTTTACAAACTGAGCAAAAAAAGGTATATTCTTTTTATTCACTGTTCTCTTTCACCTATTCCCATTATTTACTTGTTATGACCTGGTCTAACGCTGTTTTATCTCGTGCTTGGTCTTCTTTTTGAAGTTGTTGAATAACAAATTGATTGAAATGTACGTTTATCACAATAGTTATTGTCGTTACGAAGATAAAGGTTCGTACGACGGTGATTGGGTGATGGACAAAATGTGTGGGTTCGGATTACGAATTTATGCAAGTGGTGCTCGTTATGCGGGTCAATGGAAAAATGGAGTTCGGCATGGTATTGGAACTATGGTTTGGGCCAACGGAGACGTTTATCGTGGAGAATGGAGAAACGGTGAAATGAATGGGTTCGTTAATCTTCGATTCGATAATTAGACTGCGGATTTTTATGCATTTATGAGAAACGTGAAAATGGAAAATTGGATAAAAGCCTTTTATAATGTGTCATAGGAGAAACCATTTTCTATTATAATTCCATTCATCTAATTATAGTATTAAAAGCTTGAATTTGCATAATAATCCAGCCAGTCTGCTGACAATAATAGATACCGCACAATGAATTTTAACTTCTTATACGTTCTCCAACTTTCTAAAATTCAATGTAATAAAATGTTCAATGAAATTTGTATATTGTTTATTTCAAGTTTGTTGAAATCCTTTAATGAACTACAAAATTTCCTTTGATTCCAATTTTCTGTAAGTTAACCCACCGAAGTCTATAAACATTTGTAAACGATTTTTTATTGAAATTTTATTGACTAATTAATTAACAGTTATGGAATATACGTGTGGAACGCATTTTTTAATAAAACATTCACTTGGCCCCAGGAGACTACGTATATAGGTTACTGGCGAAACGGATTGCGTTCTGGCGAAGGTGAAACTTTTTCTTTATAATTTCAGAATGTATTTTGTAGTTTGTCATAATACGTGTATGTAGTTTGAACGATACTGTTGATATTGTTATTACAGGAACGTTAAAGTTAAGCACAGTCGGTGGTGCTAAATACTCCGGTTATTGGAAGAGTAATAAAAAGCATGGTCACGGAACCATAATAGGTGAAACAAACACTATAGTACACTTAAAATTAGTATATAACCGTAATAATGGTTTCACATACAAAAGTACTCAAATCAGCATTATAAAGTACAGTTCTTTTTACACGAAGATATTAAAGTATTCAACATTCTTATTAATTTTTTATTATACATCACTCATGTAAAATTCAGTTTGATGAAATAATTAAAAATGACAACTCAATAGTGAAACCATAGTTTTATATTTTTTACGGTACTACCTATTTGAAATAGTTGCACAGAATGCTGCAAGGAATAATTTGTTTGCTTAAAGGGAATAACGGAGAAAAGATGGAAGCCGATCCATTATTTCTCGATGATATTTTGGTTTCATCGGACAATGCAGACGGTATTAGCCAAGAACAATTAGCAACCACTAGTAATCAATGTGTACGTACACCAAAGGAAGATAAACCTGTGTAAGAGATGAATTTTAAGTTTGTAATAATTTTAATGAAAATGAGTATATACTCGTTTAAGGATTCGATCCAAGTGCATACAGTTTAAAAATAAAGTAATAATTATATTGTTATTTATTCAATTATTATTTTATTGAAATAAAATATTATTTTATTATTTTATTGAATCAAAATGTTATTTTACTCATTTATTTATTTCATTGAAATAAAATAGAGAACACTAATCGCACTGTTAACATACATATATAACATTGCTTTCACAGATTTGTTGAGAAACCAAGTAAATTAAGAATAGCTCCGATAACTCCAGTTTTAAAACCGGAACAGTTTCCGTCTCTGTCCTACTACCTTACGCGATTACTGGATCCAAAAAGTTTGGAAGGTCCATTAATTCGTTCAGTGCCATCAGGAAAATGTTACTCTTGTGAAAACCAATCTTGTTCCTGTCTGACACGATCATCTAACGGTTACTTATTTATGTCTTATATTTTCTGCTAACATTTTCAACTTAGAAAACAATTTCAATAAATGATAAAAGTAGACTTTTTTCTATACATTTTTACATAGATATAATTAAGAGCGAAGAGAAGATTGATAGGAAATTGGAAAAAGACAGTGCTCTAGCATCTGAACGAGAGTACGAAGAGCGTTGGGTATACAATTGTTTGACAATGCATATGTCCCGCCTGAGACAGATTTATGCAAATGCCGCAAAAATATTTGCACCCTCAACGATGGAATGTAAACTTGTCATGAGCAGAATGTGTTTATGGCAGTTGTGGCGGGATTGTAAAATTACTAAGAAAGGTTTAAGTCTGATAGAAATTGACAATTACATTGGTAAATTATTATCATTAATTTGAATGGTTTTAATCATATGATCTTTCAACTTTGATTATTATTGTGTTCTTGAAATGTAAATTTAGAAATTAATAATCATGTATCTTTTGCTATAAATATGTAAATAATTTCAGCAATGAATAAGTTCACCATCGTCAATGATCCACACGATCCATTCGAAAAAATTGAAATATGGCAATTTCTACATGCATTGATAGAAGTTTCGTGGCATTTGTACACAAAACAGAATAATATACATACCCAGGACATGAATGGAAAACTGGCTGGTGGTTTGCATATATTTTTGGAAAACGATGTATATCCTCATGTTGGAAATCATGTCGGTATGTACATTTAGCATGTATAAGAATAATTTCCGTGAAGAAATACTGTGAAATCAATACTTATATCATAATTTGCAATATATATATACAAATAAATCAAATTAAACTAAAATGTCGAAATCAATTTATTAATTTAATTGTTAATAAATAGTATTGCGTTTTAAGCGTTTTTATTATAATTTTTGGTATCGTTTTACTGCGAAGATTTTGCGGTTCAAAAAATTGTGTGAATTAAAAACGAATAAAAAGTTGAAAAATTCCTTTTATATATTTGTTGAATATTAATTCTACGATTCTCATTTCCCTGCTTTCCTTTCGAGAAGATAATTTCCAGGAGTTCCTTAGTCATTTCCATGTTAGCATAATTAAAGGAGGGAAATGTTACGGAATTGAAATCTGCGACATAAATTTGATCTCGATTAATATTTTACAAAAAAACTGTCTGTGAATCAATAAAAATATAAATCATTAATAAAATATTTTATTTTAGGCAGTTTATGTCGCGAATACCTAAATTTATTGCCTATGAAAGCCGTATTCAAAATGTGTCAAAACATTGGATATCCATGTGCGGTGAAAGATCTTCTACGAGCCGTGTATTGTCCGGAAGGTAAAAACTAATTATTTAATCTTAATGGCACAATATCATATGCACAAGTGATAATCAGATACAGAAAATAAATCATTAATGTAGAATAAAATTTACTTTGCTGCTAGCCTCGTGTTCGCAAAAATTGAATTCACATTTCGTATCTATGAGCATAGTTTACAAACATTCATAGGTTTTGAATGAATTTTGTTCATTTTATTCTTACTTTTCGTTAAAAACATTAATATTTCATCAGGATGGTAAGTAATGTACTTTACCTTATTCTTTTAAATAAAAAACTGTTTTAGAGAATATCAGCTGAAAAGAAAGTAAATGTTTAATTCCTAAGGTTTCACAGAATAGTTCAATTGTTATTCAATTTTAAAGCCATATTTAGAAAATATATGTACGAATAGGGAAATAGGGTAACTAAACAAGACGTTAAATCTCAAACTGTAAACTTTAAACTGGATTATTATTATTGAACAATTATAATCGGAATATGCATGCAGTGACCCTTAAGTTCTTAATTAGTTCGTCTCTTAAGATTCTATTAAAATATATAAATAATACAGGTACGCAATATTCGAAATCTTCCTCGACGGGTGACGAAATGGGGAAGCATCGTCCGGTTGGTATCAATGCTGTGACAATAGGTGAAAATATGCGTTACCTGACAGAAGGGAATGACATATTTTCGTCACCGCATCATGAATGTAATACATCAAAACATCATGCAGGTAACCAATGCATGTGTTACATTCCTTTTAATTTATTCTAGAGAGAGTCTTAGACATAGTTCCTAATCTAAGCAGAAAAAAAATCTTCTGTAAAGGGATAGAAAATCAAAGGATATAAATGCTATTTATGTAGTTCACATCAATTCTAATCCTTTTGACGTAATTAAAAAATAAAAATAAATAGTATTAGCTAATAAAAAAGTAGAATTTATACAAAATGGTAAATATCCTTTACAAGTACAAAAAAAATGTCATCAAGTCATCTAAAGACTTATAAAATACTTTGAAATATATTCGAATAATTTTTTAAAACTAATTTGTAAATACGAAATCGCCAACTGTAACAATACAGACTATAAATATGAAATTACTATATTTCTACTAAATAAATAAGCTCCGTGGATCTAAATACCTAGATATCGTTAATTTATGTAAATACAGAATTAGTAAATTTCATAGAAATTCTTTTGTCCGAATAGAGTTATTATTTGCTTATTCTATAAATCTGTACATATGATTTCATCAGACATGAAAATCGATTTGAAAACATTTTATTTTGTTCTCGTAGTTTAGCAGATAAAACACATAATCATATAACATTTTGTTTTTTTTTATTACTAGATGACGGATTGTTCATTTTCAAACAGTTAAGAGCTACGAAAACGTTAGAAATTATATCGTTGATATGCGTTGGTGTTAAAGATTCAGATAGCGGCATAATCATCAACATCGATTACGAGGTATAATTTTGTGATATATGTACATTTGAAAAAACCTTTCATTTTATATTGAATGTATAATTTTAAGAGTAACAAATACTTTTTTACTACAAGTATTTGGATGTTTGCAATTTCAATATTCTAAGATTTAAAATGGTTTTTTACAAATTTCATCTCACTGTTTCGCAAAAACATTCACATGCGGAGCATACATTTTTCAGAATGCATAATATGAGAAGGCCGAATAACCTTCTGTCAAATTTCTGGTCGTCTTTTTACATTTTATAACCACTATTTAATACCAGTTTTCATTGTACAGTATAAAAGCAAATACGAAATGTTTAAATTCCATTCAATTTTAAATACATTTAAAAAATTGCAAATTATACAACCTACTGATTTTGATTTTTGTATTAATAATTACGCTTAAAATATATCAATTGTGCTCAAAGTATTTGCGATATTATTGATAGTTTGTAACATAGGAATTAATTATTACAGTTAACTTTCCTGGAATTTTATGAAATTATATTGATGGCAACCAAACAATTACTTTTCATGAGGAAAGAAGCGGGAATGTAAAGAACAAATAATGCAGACGAAACATAATGTTTAAGAAAGTAATAATATATAAATAGAAAGTATAATTTTCAAATATATAAGTTTTACGCGTATAAAAATATTATATTATAAATAAATAGAAATTGTAACACAATGTACAAAGCAAAATTAACAAAATTACTTAAAGATACTATCATTGGATACATTTGCATTATATATTTCCACTCTGACACCTCAGCTCGCAACGAACATAGCCATCAATTAATTAAAATACAAAATAGAAAGTATTATGGAAAGTAATTAATTAGTAATCAATGGAAACAGTATGTTAAGTGCTTGGCTAAATATATCTTAAAGCTACATTAAACATTTTTTATTTTGTTTCTATTTTCTATTTTTACTATTTCCTACTTTCGTATCTAAACTGTGTCAAAATAGGTAGTAATGAATAAATAACGAATAATTATAACTGTTAGCGATGAAGACATCAATTTATAACATTTTAAACTTTAACAGGAATATTATGTATATCGCATTCAGGTCTGAAATAAACCATGAATAGCAGACAGTAGAAAAGGTTCAATAATTAAATCATTATTTCTAATGAAATTAAACGACCTATTATTTGAATAATCTTTTACGGATAATTCCATTTGCATTTCTTAGGAGTAATTTAAAAATATTTCCATTTTTCGTCCGCGGTAAGAAATAAATATATATCTTTTTCTTTAACGCATTGTTCTATTTATATCATATACATTCATGTATACACAGTTAAGAAACACAAAAGCATTACTCGAACGTAATAAATAAATTTTACACACTGAAATATTGTTCTATTTCTTAAAAGACAAAGTTATAATTGGCCGAAAACATAATTTATAATAAGGATAGTCAAGTTTACCATGGAATTCATAAAATCATACATATATGTATATATTTATTTATGATACATTTGTTTAATGAATTCTTTCGTACCTTCAATCGACAAACTAAATTAACGACATCGTGTATCCACCATACTCTCCAATTACCCTACTTTACATCTCATATCTTTAAACAAATCTACAATTACACTGTAAGAGGGCAAAAAGATAATATGGTGGAGAAACAAAATTAACAACAGGAACTAAAAATCATGCCTGGCTGTGATTATTACAACGTGACTGAACAACT